GCCAGGCCGTGCAAATCTCCACGCTCCTCATTCTGTTCTTTTACTGTTAGGCTCCAAGGAATGTGCCAGATGTGACTGTACCTGATGGCATGGCACACAATGACTTCATCACCAGGTAACAACACAGAACAGCGCTAAGAAAAATGAAAGTTAGCTTGAAACAAAATTGCAAGGCAGCCAGTCTGAAAAGGAGTAAGACGCCTCCACCTTGGCTATGCTTGTGCTGGGAGCAAATGTAAGCATCAATTGCAACAGCTATACAAGGAGGGTGGTGGTGAAGTGAAGTAGCATCCTTTGGACATCATCGTTCTGCATAGCCAGTACGAATAATACAGCCAGAAGACTGGGAGCATTCCAGAGCCTGGGATGCCAGAGCAGTGTGCCAGCACTGTGGTGCCAACGCTGCAGCTCCAGCTCCAGATGAACTTTGAGATTCATGCAGATCCCAGGCACTCACCTACAGCAGCGAAAACTTATCCCCAAAACAATGAGATGGATGCATTGCAACACTAACAGAAACATGTCATTAAGAAGCATGGTTTGCTACTTCTTCCCTTTAAAATCCTTGATAGCATACTATCTCAGTAAAACCTGGGCTCCTCTCATTTGCTTCATTTGAAATTCTCTGTAGGATGCATGATCACACAAGGTATGACAACCTCTACAAGATGAAGGAGTAGCTCTTGGCTTTCCAGCACTGAAGGTAATGATAAGAATGACGGCAAAGCCTACAAGCAGGCTTATGGGACTGTAACTACCTAACCTTGGAATGGATTAGCATCTGCCCTGTCTGTTCTCCTCCCCTTTGTGCATGTGTGGATTCACCACACCAGAGCCCATCTCCAGTATCCAGTTGCTCCTGGTACTGATGATGCAGTGGAATCTGGTCAGATTACGTCTAAGAAACCCTTCACAAATCACTGAGGATGCCCCGAAGGATAACACAGCAGTATTGGTACAAAGCACTAGGGACATGCTTAGTGATTTCTTTTCCCTACAGGGTATGGGAATTGCAGATAAGGAGAGCACTGTGCTTTCTTAGGGCTGCTCAGCATGCTACTTTGTTTATTTTGGTTCAATGAAGATGAAACAGATGCTATTTGTTGGTCAATAGTGATGCTGTTACCAACACGTGCAGGCGTGCATTGTGCATAGGACTGGAGATTTCACCCTTCTTCCCACACAGCCCTCAGACACTCACGTTGGCTGTTTTTTTCTTTCACTGCTCCTGTTATCCACTGCTTTTCAAAGCAGTCTGCTTTTCCAGACTGCTGACATGAGGTGCTGCTTTGAGGCAGCAGTGAAGGTAACCAAAACCTTCAGGAAGGCCCAGCGCAGATGCATCAGTAGGGTTCCTAAGGAGCACTCTGCCAGGATCTCATCAACTTCTGTGATTCATGCAAAGGACTGGCCTTGCAGGAAGAAATGGAGGGAAGGAACCTAGGAAAATGGAAAACCATGCATCTCTGAAAATATTTGAAACTTACATTGGATATTGCCACCAAAGCAAAACCTTGAGCAATAGTTTCCCATTTTCCATCTTTATTTGTCTCTGTACAGGCATTCACAGCAGAAAATGTGCAATGATATTATGCCCCTGTCTTCAGCTGATAATGAACAATCTAGTAGATAGATATATAGCTGTCACTTTGCTTCTGGGATCCATGTCATATACTGAGAGGACATTACCAGGTTCCAGAATTGTGAGTTTGATATATGTAAATGTTTTCTAAGTTTTACTGACAATGAAAATTCATTCTGTGAGTGATACAACACTAGGACTGATGTCAGAGAGCATGATATTAACTTTCAGTCATTTTGGCATGCTGTTCTACTAGTGATGAGGCAAAGAACTTGATAAGCAGTCAAGCAACTTCTAATTTAATTTACAGCAAGTCCTTTGACACAATGGCAAACTGAGCATATCCCAGCTAAAAGAGCATATGGAAGTTCATTTCCCAGTTACTCTGGTGACATAGAGCAATACCAAAGAGCAAGTTTCCTGATTCAGCTCTGGAATACATGTATCAATGTATTTCAACAGAAACAGCTTTTGGAAAGAAACTAAAAATCACACATTTATGATCCACTGTATGATTACTTACAAATGTAAGTCCTAACTCATCAGCCTTTAGAACACAGCGTATCTTGGTAACTTTATGTTATTTTCTTGAATAATCCCATCAGCTGTGCAAATTTGAATGACTTTGTCTTCAAGTGGCATTTATATCATAATTCACTAAAGTCATTGTAAAACACAAAAGTCAGCAATTTTAGTCAATCCTTGCTTTGTTCAAAATCACATTGACCAGCTCCACAGCGGAGATCTGTCTGATTATAACTTTGTGCATCTGTTATATAAAATGGATCATACAATAATAATCAGTCACACACTTTTCTGCTCTCCCAGTCTCTCCTGAAGAGTGTTAGGCAATTACCCTCCTATCACACTTGCTTTGTCTGACAGCAAACCACAGCTTTCACATGGGGGAAAAAAAGAATGGCAGAGCATCATTGCTTGGACAAGATTCACAACTCCTGACAAATTGCCATGCAGCTTGAATTGCTCCATTCAGAAGTAGAGCTGCTCTCCCCAGCTCCCACAGCGCAGCAGACAACAGCACTTGCCATGGCACAGCACAGGGTGCAGCAGCAAGAGTAAAGAGCTTCTTTTCCTCTTCCCATCTCATCAACCCTGAGGGAAGAGAGACTGAGATGCACAATGAAAACAGACGAGCTTCACAACAAGATTTACACTTACAAAATCCCAATTTAAAATTGGACACTAAGCAACAGCATGAAATTCAACAAAAGCAAATGTCAGGTGCTGTGCCTGGGATGGAGCAATGCCAGACCCAGGTACAGATGGGAGATGAGTGGCTGAGGAGCAGCTCAGCAGCATGGGAGCTGGGAGTGCTGCTGACAGTAGGCTCAGTGTGAGCCAGCAGCATGCCTGGCAGTAAATCACATTTTGGGGTGCATTAAACCCAGCATAGCCAGCAAGATTCTCCCACAAGAGTGTGATCTCCGTTATATAAAATGGATGATAAGGTCCCTAAAAGCTTCCAGAAGCACCAAAACTGCTACAAGGACTGGAAGGCATGTCCTGTGAGGAGAAGCTAGGACATTTGGGTTGCCCGATCTGGAGAAAAGGAGGCTCCAAGGTGACCTCATTGCTCTGCAGCTTCCTGAGGTGGAAAATGGAAAGGGAGCTGCTGAGCTCTGCTCCTGGGAATTAAAAGCAGGATGCATGGAAATGGCACAAAACTGCACCAGAGGAGGTTTAGACTGAACGATAGGAAATTTTCTCCCAGGAGGGTCTTCAAGCACTGGCACAGGCTTCCTTGCAAAGCGAAGATGATTGCCCCAAGCTGCCAGTGTTCAAGGGGCATTTTGATAATGCCCTCATAAATATGTTTTAATTTTTGGTTAGCCCTGAAATGGTCAGGCAGTTGGACTAAATTATCAGAAAAATTCCCTTCCAACTCTATTATTCTATTCTGTTCTAAAACTAAAAGCACTTTCAGCAGGACAGGAATGTGCTACCTGCAGTTTAAAATCACAGTTTGAAAAACGAGGACCAATGCAAAACAGTCTGAGTTTCAGTGAGACTTTTGGCAAAAGATCAGTAAATTGGAGCTAGGACATAAACCTATTAGCAATCTAGTTCCACACTAGGCTGTAAATGTCACAAAGCTCATGCAGTCATTAGTCATCCCTATGCACAGTACATACACACACAGGATAGAAAAGAGATCTTGTGAACACCTATCTTGAACATCAGCATGGATACAAATATCATCAGTAATAGGGGATAGCAGAGTAAACTGGGCCCAATACATACAGGAACCTCCCAAAACTATTTCCCCACAGCTCAGCTATGAAATACCACTGACATTTATATAAATTCAATTATTATTTTTAGATCTTGGTGATTTTCATTGCCTTTGTACTTGAGGAGTCCAGATAAACAGAGCCTAAATGCTGAAATGCTTTGAGAAAAGCAGTTGACATAAGTTTACTAGCCCCAGGTTGAAAAACGAAAAGGGCTGGAGCAGCAGCTAAGCATCCAGAAGTTAATTCTCTGCCAGCATACATGAATGCAGCTCCACTGGGCAAAGAACGTTCCCACCAGTCCTGTGACTGCTGATCTGAACAGAATCATTCTCCTATGGTTTACTGCAGAAACAGCCTGGCAGTACCTACCTAGTGCTCTTGCAAAAGCTAAAAGTGAGACAAAAGATCACACCAGACACACTCATGTCCTGATCTGTCTTCACAGCCAAAACTGTGCTGCTAGCTACTACCTCTATATGCCACATCATAATCTCTCCCACAGACCTTGCATATTATCTGCCCTTTAACTGACTCATCCAATTCTCCATTTGGAAAGCACATCTCCTTTGTGTTCGTTCAGGAAGACAAATATACTGCCTGAGTCATTAGGATTTTTCATGTGGTCTCATCTTAATGTTCCAATACTCCAGTTTAGACAATATCCACTTGGAGGAGTTCTTTGCTCAGCAGCAGGAAAGAAAATAACCTGACTCCATAATGAAAACCTCAAAAACATCCCAAGTACTAAAGGGTAATGAGACATGGCCCTGATTGATTGTCTAATAACCTTTATCTAGATACTAATGAATGTAATAAATTGTGAGATTTATGTACAGTCTCTGCTCACAGACCATCTTTTAAAGTACCTTCATGGAGAACAGCAAGTTGTGATGTGACTTCCAGCTTCAGTTTCACCAGGAAAAAAAAAAAAAGACCTGTATAATGTGTAAATTTGAACTGATGATCAATCAGCTGAGACATTACAGTGAAACAGTCTAGGGGAATAAACTTGCATTAAAGTTTAAGTATTATTGTGAAAAAATATATATTTAAAATTTCAGACATACTTTAGAGGTCACAGGAGCCAGCAAGAATGCTCAATTCATTTTATCATTATCATTATTTATTACAATCTCATAATTTATCAGTTTCTTAAAACCCAGACATAATATCTCAAGGTCTTCTTATATCATAGAACCAAAGAATCATAGAATGGGTTGGAAGGAGACCTTGATGTTCACCCAGTTCCAACGCTCCCACTGTGGGCTGAGTTGGCTAGTCTGGAAGATTCTTCCTCTACATGACCAGCAGCCATCCCCCTGCTGAAAGGGCTCCTCACAATCCTTTGCCTCTTCACAGGTTCCTAACTAAACCAAAGAGCACATTCAGAGTCTATCAAGAAGCTTCTCCTTTTTCTCCCTCCAGCTTTTCTGCTCCTGTGATTTTATAGGATGGTACTCTGAACCTGGCAGCTCCCCCAGGCAATGGGCTGTGCTCCAGGCTCATTCAGCAAACCTGGGGGCAGGATGAATCCAGCAGGACAAAACTGGGTCCAAAAAAATGCTTGGGTGGCACTGACGATGGCAAAGTATCTCATGAGAAAGCACTCGATGTGATATGCTAAAAAAAAGCATTAACTCACTACTGCCATGAAAAGATTCTCTGTGTCTGGGGATCAGTTCTAACACCAGCTACTTCCAAAGGATACCAGCTATCGCCTTCAGGATTTTCACTGTAAAAACAATTTTCCTACACTCTACAAACCTGAAAGAAATCCTAAACAGCTCCCAAGAAACTGAAACATCTCAGATGAAGGCAAGAACAGTAACACCTATAAAGTATATTTGTAGCAGCACTTAATGAACCATCAGGGCCTAATCCTCATTTAGATTGTGCAAATATGAACGACCTTTTGCTTCTTTTTATGTTAGCATCGTTTGCCAGCTAAAATCAATGTCAGTACAAATGAGCAATGAACAAGGGAATGTGTCCAATACTGTCTCTATTTTAAGATTCCAATGTTGATTTTTCAACTTTCAGAAAGATTCAACATAAATTTGCAGTATCTTTGTGGCAACATCATTGCCCATGACTATAAATATTCATAGAAACAGTAAGAGAAAATGCTTTGCTTTTCCAAGGACAATTGATCCTTCTGCAGAATTTACTTATTTGTATTATAGATCATCCAGTTTTTATTCTTTGAGAGAGAACGTTTAACAACTCTTAGCATGTGATGGTCTCCACATGACTTCCCATTCCCCGTGTTGGGAAGAACAGAGCATTTGCACAGCATTAATAAAGAATGCCTGTTCAAAATTGAAGAGAAACAGTAGTTGTTCCACAGCAATTAGTCATTAGCAAAGTGCAGACATGCAGCCTCACCAGAAAGCATCTCTGAATATGCAACCCTGACAGTCTTTTCAATAGACCTCTGCTTGCACTCTGCTTCTCCCGGTCACCAGAGAACAATAGCTATGACTAATTCAGGTTTTGAATGCTGCCCCTGCAGCACTACAGAATCTGCAGCACAAAAATAACAGATGTGCCTCGAGAACAAGTCTCACAGGTGCAGCTAGAACCAGCAATATGTGAGAAAACCCAAAGCTTGCTCCTATCAGCAAAGTTACAAAGGAGACCTTGCTGAGGAAGGCAAAGCTCATCCATCACTTCTTCTAGCAAGCAGTACACAAAGACCCAGTTTTTCCAATTTCCTTTCTCTTTTGAAAGCTTGAATAGCAAAAAATATTTGCAAGCTATGAAAATGTTTCCATGAAAGAAACTCAGATACTGGTCTAAATGAAGAGCATTATTAATGTTACTCCTAAAAATCCCATACCAAAAGCTATTTCCATAGCTGGAAACCTCCGGTTTTTGACAGGTTTATTTTCTAGGGGCACACATAATATACAAATTAAACAAGTATACAAATAATAAAATTTTATTTAGAGGTAAAAAATAAAGCTGATATTCAAGTCACATTTAAGATGCAAATACTGTCCTCTCAGGACTAGATAATTTCAAACTGCAAAATGATTTTGTTTATATTTCCCTCGATAAGCAAAGTATAGAGAAGCACGAAACAAATTTTGCATTTTATAGCTTCTAAACAAGTGCACCTCTGTCTAAACACAGAACGTAAACATAAATGTACCACACACTGCAACTTCAATTACAACTGTTAAACAACAGAGCTCTGAAATAGCTGCTCTAATTGCCAAAATATGCCATGCCTAGCACACCACGTAACACCACCAGCATAAATACCATCTCCTTCAGCTTCACTCATACCGCCAATCTTGCTGTATTCAAACCACATTCCACAACAGCACTTTCCAAGCTGAGGATTTTGCCTCTGAAATTCTTTATGTTTCTATTAATTAATGCTCTACATAAATGAAAGGAGTTAAGGCATCTGTCTGGTTCATACATTAACCTGAGATTCAGTGTTCCTGTCCCATCTGATCTACAATGATTGATTTAATCTTAACAGCAACCATTAACTATTAGGGAAGCATTACTTCAACAATGTAGATACACATGGGTGTCAACTGCACAGCGACAGAGTGCCCTGTATAAATAATAGGCTCCGAGCTAGATTCATCAAAGAGAGCAGGAAGATGTCTTGGAAGAGAGAGAGGGAAAATGAATTCGATGAATCATGTAAGTGGCAGCCTGCATCTTGAGAACAGTTCTCCATACTGTGATTATGAATGTGTTACATGCAGAGTTTCGTCAGCAATTGCTGAAGAGGAGTAAGATGCTCAGGAGCAGCACAGTACGTTGGTGAGCACAGCACGTGGGAGGCTCTGATTCAGGGCCCAGGAACTCTTCCAAATGGCCCCAGTGGGACTGATAGCAAAGCACTATCGGAAGAAGGAAGGAAATGCAGGACTTCAGATGTGCTTCAGGGTAATGATGGTGCCACGACGTGCTGATCACAGGCCAGGACTGCCACAGCCAGTCCCCTAGCCAGCCCAGGCCACAGTGAGAAAGTGATTTGGAAACTCAAGAGCCACTGAGGAAGAGCTGCTGTACTGTCCCAACACTGACGGGGGCTGATTGTATCACACAAATAGCAAACATCATCGAGTGAATCCCCACTGCTGCTTCAGAGCTGATCCTTTATAGGCAACCCACACACTGAGTCGTAATTACATATGTCATTCACTGAATAATTTCAAATTAATGAATGTGTTCATGAGTATTTAAAGTGCTTTCACAGACCATTCACACACAGAAAGAGCTTCAGAAGCGCCACAAGAACTATGGGGAAACAGGCTTTCACTGTGAGTGCATTTTATAGTTTAAATTCACACTGATTCTTTGCCAGGCTGAGAAGGAAATTTTCTCAGCTGGATTTAGATTATACACAACCTCAGGTTATCAGGGGGCCTAAATGAAGGGCATGCCATCAACGTGAATAGAAGGACAGAAGTTCATCACTTGGCTGCAAGTGTGGCCCTGTATGCAGAGCCATAGCTCCAGGGGAAAAGACTTTACAACAGCTTCCTCCACAAAGCCATGCTGAAGCAGCAGCAAATGCCTGCCTGCTTCAGGAAACCATATTCCATTTTGTTCCCATATTTTCTGCAGCTGAAAATGAGCTGGGATAAAGCAGACTACCAGTTAAGTCTAAATAGTTTAGATGGAACAGGCTTTGGTATTGCAGTCTTCTTAGATTCTTTGTTGGGGTAGAAAGTGAAGTACTTGAGGTAGATCTCAACTTTTGTCACTTCCAGACACTGCACCAGTTGTGTGTCCAGGAGGCCATGCCTCATTTTCAGATATGCACCTCATCAAATAAATCCAGTGCAGTTTCTGGAATTGATTCTTAACTATCACAGTGAAAACCAAATCAGAAAAGCCAAAGCAGTTGCCACTGTTGCCAAGGCAGGAAACAGAAGCTCCCTCACCCTGAGACTTCCTTCTCTTCTCCATTTACCCTTGGGAAAGTGAGAGCAACTTGAGATCTTAGCACTTCCAAAGCTCTTGCAGATGTACCCAGAGGCCAGCTCTACCTTGAATCATGGAGCAGAAGTATGCAGGAATGGAAATAATCTCCTAAGTAATTAATTTTGGTTCCTCTCCCTCACAAGAAATCATGTTGTCATGCTGCCCTCCCTTCAACGGTTGGACCCAGGCCTGGGGAGCTGGAGACAAGCCTGCACCACTGGTGAGGAAATATCCTTCCACCATGACCAAATGTGTCTGAAGAGCCCACAGGAATGTGTCAACACTGATAGACAGGCAATGCATAGAACTCACCTTAGAAAAGGAAGCAACTTCTCAGAGGCAATGGAACATCTAATTATGCTAAAAATAAAAGGAAAAATCAGTCGAAGTAAATTAGGAGTATGGAAAGTGAAAGATGCAGAATTTTTTGATAGAGCCTTCTACAAGAGGGAAATCATAACTGTTAACATCCCTTCCCTACTAATCTCTTTCTCTTCCTGACTGCTAAGGAACAATAAAAGTCCATGCAATTTTGCTGACCATCAGACATCAGTTAGTTTTTCATACAGGGACCACAAGACAGGAAACGGGATCACCTGTATTTTGAATGTACCTTCTCCAAACCCGACACAGAACATTCCCACATGACAAATGTTAAGGCCCTGTTCAGTTTCTCACTGCTGATCTAGCCTGCACAGTACACTTGAAAAGTTGACAAATCATAGAGATTTTTCACAGACAATGCAGTTGCTGCTGCGACCACAGCTACATCAGCTTTAATTTTAAACCACGCATCCTTCTCTTTAATTTAAACATCCCCTTTAGTGCAGAATGACAGAACTGTACAATACAGCTGGCCTAGGTTTATTAAACTTCACTGCAATGTGTAGCCAGTCTGACTAGTTGGTTTGACATTGATATGAACTGAAAAACATGCTGATTTATTGTATCTGGGTCTGAAGGTGATTGTTTATTGTCACTGCCACACAGATGCAAAAACACTGCCTGGGGGAGAATGTATCAGCTTGCAAACAATATAACAGGAGAAAAAAGTATTTCTCAAATAACATAGCAGACTACTTGTGATATATCTGGGATCTTTGCTGAACCTGCCGCTGAGTAAAATGGCTAAATTTAACAAAACAAAATTAAAAATAAAACACTGTGTCATCATGTGCTCAATTTTGGCACTTAAAACTGATTTAGCCAATACTTCTGAATGAATCACACTGTCCTTCTTCCCTTCATACTTGAGGAGAAACTGCCCCAGGTTTCACAGGAACTACAAGCTGATTCAACACTATCCCAGATGTCTACAAAGGACTGACACGCAATTCCTGATGCAAATTGAAGTACATTGCTAGAAGTGGCTTAACTTTACATTTCAAGGAGATCCATGAGCATTGCAGTACAAATTAGGGACAGGAAATGTAAATAGCAAAAGAAATTTCACTTATCACCACTTCTGAAAGTAATCATGAAAGAAAAGTGCCAGAAGACAGAGAGCATTTTCACTTTCTTTCCTCATTTTTTTAAGCTGTTAACCTAGACCAGAGCAAAAGATGACATTCAGATCCTCTGAGGGAAGAAAAAAAAGCACTAAGAGTTCATCCAGTGCTGTTATTCAAACACTCCTGCATCCATCAGATGAAGCACAGTTCCATCAAGCTGGAGTTTCTCCCTGAGTGAGTCAAAGCAGAGGCAGCAGCACACCAGGGCAACCTGGCAATGCAGGTGTGGTGCCTGGTTGCCTTCCTCCTATCATACGACACACAGCAGGTACACAGCCAGGAATGCTGGCAAGGTGAGGGAAGATGGTCACATCCATGTCACCTTCAGAAATCTGCTCTTGAGATCAAACAGAAATGTTTCTCTGGCTTGAAGAAGCTTAAAAATTAGAGAGTGGTTTGGATATATCCACAAACAACCACTGACTTGTGGGTCAGAGCATCAGATCCTTTTATAATGTTTAGGTTTTATCAGAGAATAAGCATTATTCAGAAACATAATCAAATAATAGAATTCAAATGGACATCTGAATTTTGACTGAGAAGTACTGCAAGCTTAGAAGGATTCTGAGCTAAGATTTGATGACTAAATAAATGAATAAAGTTATCTCTTTGTGGCTGTTTAGTTGATTACTAGATTTTTCTATCACACAGCCCTAGTTCTCAGCATACTCACACACAGAGTAACAGATTTCCCCTCACCAGTGCCGTTAGTGACCTTGTCCCTTGGCCTGAGCACTATGTACACAGAGTGCCACCTGTCAGTGACCTTTCAATGTCACAGAAATAACTGAAAGGAAACAAGCAATCACCTTTTCAACTGAAATTTCATTTGCAAGCTGTAATTTTGATGTGAAAAAAATATACATTTTTGGAAGTCAGAAAGAAGGCAGAACACTACCTATTACATGGATGTCATGATGACTTCTCTCCAATCATTCAGTAAACACATTCTCAAGAACACTTCTCATCATCTCTTTCGTCTTCGTTTTACTGATCTTACAGTGTAGTGAAAGAAACATCTGTGGAAAAACAAATGTAAGAGTGATTGCACATTCAATCATAGAGAAGTTACATGTTGCTATCCTACAAAATCAGCTGTAATGAAACACTGAACCAGGTCACCAGGGCGTAATACTTGTTGTGTGATCAGTACAGCATCCATCTCTGTCAAAGAACCAAGATATCATAAGTCTCTCAGCTCAGATGTAACCACATCTTACAAATCTACCACATCATGTGGCAATTCTGATGCTTTTCATGACTTCAAATGGCTTGAAAATATAGCTTTAGTCCATCTTCACATCTTTTTGTGTGTAGATTTACAGATCTGTGTACTATTCATCTTTTCAAATCACCTTGTACACATAATGTATTGGTGATAGCGAGGGGATGGTTCACATCTCTCAGTCTTTGCCAGTGATTTAGACATGTAGGTTTAAGTGACCAACTGGTCCTCATCCATGCTCTTTAGTGAGTTCTTGGCATCTCTAGAGTAAAGATCATGAGAAAGAAAAAGGTTTCTTGGGATTGAAAACTCTGCATCATGATGGCATAATCCTACCAAAATGGAAGATGTGAAAAATAATAAAATAAGGAAAATAAAATTTCAAAGGCTGTGGCAAATTCTATCATGGCTCCCTGGATTAAATGACAATTTCTGTGCAATCCCTGAATTTAAATCCTGCCTTCTACTTGGGGTAAATCAGGACTATGTGCAAAATTTCCTATATTTAAACAAACAAAGCAAAGACAAAAGTTGACCAGCATCTGAACATTCTTTAAAGTAAGAAAGTCTGTGCATATACATAATTTCTGTTCCTTCATACTTCCCAGCATGTGTAAAGCAAGTCCCTTCCAAGTCTCTTTTTGCCTTACATTAGCCGAATTTAATTGTAAGTGCTAAATGAGAAGTCTCAGAGTCTCTCAGCTCATTAGAGTAACATGCACCAAAAGAGTTAAGCAGGTAACTGATTTTATCATCATTTTGTACCTCCAAGCTTATTTTAATGAGAACAGATCCACTTTCTTAGTAAATTCATAAATAACTTTCCTCATAATTAATTGTCTCTCCATGAAATTTTAAGATGGATTTGAATTTGCCAGGAACAGGCTGATTTCCTTTGTAATTAACTAATGTATCAAAAGGGATCATTTATAATGTCTGCGGTCAACATCAGTCAGCACTGTTACAGGGCAGCACAGTAGGGCACGACTAATGAACACATGATGGAATCAAAACTGACAGACAGAAAGTCATAAATCTTTAATTTGCATCCTGGATTTTGCATTTTATATGGGGATTTTGCCTCAAAATGATGCAATTTGCAGAGAAGCTACAGGAGTGAAGTCAATGTCAAACTTGAAACATGCAGAAATTTCTGTCTTCAGAAAGTGGCTGGAGAATTTGGCACTGGTTCTCATAGGCTCCTTAGTTATCTGTGTGAGCAGAAACATGCAGGGACCAGGACCCATTCCACTTCCATCAGCAGATTCTCTAAAATGTCATGCTTCTCATGAATGCCCCTGAAAATTGGAGTATTGATTACATAATATACTACAGTGATGGGTGCTCTATAAATATCTAAGATCAATAGCATTCTCATCCTGCTTATCCTGGACAACAACAGTCTGCAACTCCTCTCTAAATATTGACTCTTCTCCTGTCTTAGCTGCTCTGCCTGACCCAATTTGTTCCACCCCAGTAACTCTCTTACTCCATATAACTTCCATATAACCACTCTTAAAGGTTGCTCAAGCATCTGTCACTAACTCCTTTATTGCAAGCCCTAGCAACTCTTTTCCAAGTCTGATTCCTCTATGAAAGATTATGAACTGATTGCATTATCTCTCAGAAAATTAACACCAGTGTTCATTCAAGTCCATTACTCCAGATGAAGGTTTCATTCACAGATCTGTGGCCAGTGCTCTAGAGGAAGTCAACCTGAAAGACCACATCTGTGGTTATGGCGTTACATCAGCAGGACTGAATCGTGGTGTGGGTGGGATGATGGCACAGTCACAGAGCTGTGCCTACATCACATGGCCACACCATGCTCAGGGGAGAAAAAGGAGCTGTAAATCTCAGACTCTTCTTCAAATACTGTGATTTTGAACTATTTTGAATAGCCATTATGCTATGCATATGTTAATTATAAAACAGAATGCACTAAGATCAGGTCTGTAGACTAAAAAGATGCCGAGGTCCTGATATCCATGTACTGCATGTACCAGGGTGTTTCACCCACTTCAGACTAGTTTTAGTCTGGTCCTATCCACTGAAAGCTCATTTGCACTTGGAGCACTGTATCTGTGCTCCCAGAGCATGTCTTCTAGTTTTGTTTCATCCAGAAGCAATCCAGTTCATGAACTTCAAGACTCTGCCTTGATGCTGACCAAAGTTCACGTGGGCAGATCACCAAAAGACTAACTCCAAAACATACCCCTGACCCAGGTTAAAACCCACAGATATCTGCCTCTCACCCAAAGATGTCATCTAAAAAGGAGTATGGGGACAATCTCATCTTCCCACAGGTCATGTCACCAAATTCAGTGTATGCCAAAAGGTCCAAGAGCTGACCTGAAGGCTAAACATACATGTTTGAATGCATTTAGCCATGCCATGTGCATGACAATTCCTTTGTCCAGCAGAGGCCAAGGCACAGCACATTGCTGTGTTCTCCAGGCTCTGCCCTGCACTGTGCACCCCCCAGCTGGGCAGCCACAGAGCTTTAGACACAGCTTTGGGGGGAAGGACAGTGGTTATTAGAGGTGCAGGCAGATGTAATGGTAGGAAAAAAGGGGGACAAGTACAGTCTCATCGACATCAGATCCAATCATTTTTATAGGCCT